CATTTCCATTGTAAGTCCTACTTAACTTTTATATAACTATAGTATTTCGTGTGTTTGTTTTGAAAATCAAAAATATCAAGATGGCGTTCATAAATTATGTTTGCAAACCATTTTTGAGAAGCCTGAACAATATGGACACCATATTAATACGTAAAATGTATTTTAAACGTGTTAAAGACACTCGCCCGCTTCTCCATTTGTCCTTTATTAAAAAAACTTTGACCACTTTGTCTTTGTAGTTACCCGTTCGTTGTTTACGTGTAGACCGTCGTTTACAACGGGAAAACGGGTAGATATTACGGGTAAATATGCTGACATCAGCGAAAAATGGAAAACAAAATGGCGCTACCCGTACCCGTACACCGGAACCGGGGTATCTTAACCTCTCTATTGTTGGCAGATCGTAGAAGAATATTCCAGCATTCATATCGTCAAAGATAACGAATTTGCATAAATGATGACATTACACACACATTAAAAACATTATAGCACGTCTATTCTGGGCTTTGGTAAATATCACCAGAAAAGACACTTTGATTGATATATACATCGAGCACCTTAGACTGTGACTGATAATATAAATTTTTTTCAGCATAATAATTAGGCCTATAACAGTACAGTATCTGTCACATTAGATTATGTAGTCCTATGAAAATGAAACGCAACAAAAATATTTTTCTGTCAGATTGCTGTCAGATTGCTGGTGTAAACGCCTTTTTTAGCTCAATATGACTTTGGAAAACGACGTATCAAGCTCTGACTCAGCCAATCAGAAAGTTGGCGATAACGGTTTCCTCCACTTTAAATTTCACGCATGCGCATAACTAGCAAAACCATCCAACGTCCATGACATAGAATTTTGACAACTTTGGTTGCCGCAATGTTCTGTCACAAAACCCGGGTGTGATTCGTAATCTCCGGGCTGAATTAGTACCCTCGCACGGCGCTCCGCACCGGCTTGGGGATTAATATGCCAAGAAAGTGAAAATTTGATTCTCTTCAAAGAACGCCAACTTTATATAACTTATTTAGTTAAACCGTTAGTAAAAACCCACAATTTATGGCCTAATATCCAAATGTGTTTGAAAAATAAGTCGTCCTGTCATAAGTTGCAATGTGATATCTTGTAAATAAAGTTGTCTCCATTTTTCAATCATGTAGACAAACCGATGATAATTTCAGAAATAGCAATTTACGGTCTTACAATCGGTGTACTATTGGAGCATGATAAATGTACATAAAATTCAAAGTTATATGCTTGTAAATGAAAAAAATTGCATGCAATAATGACTTCAGCGTGGATGATATTTTTGTGTAAGCACAGGTGAAACTCGAGTGGCCTAGCTTGAATGTAAAATGGACCTTTTTCAGGCAGCGTTTTAAATTTCTCAGACGACTCATGAAAGACATTGTTGACAGTGGAGAAATCTACGAAGATTTTTAACATTGCCGGAGCATTTAAACTGGAAAACTGCCAATTTTTGAAACATATATATGCAGATATCGCAATGATTAGATTTTACTTATTTAAACCACCTATATATTTAGCACAATGTCACAAACCATGAAATATATTTACTGGGACACTCTGACTCTGCATACATGCAATGCTTGTCCAAACGTTTGTTCTGTCCATATATTCATAAATACCTAAATATCAATCACGTGACCAACATATATTAGCGTGGGTTTTGTGTGGTTTTTGGCGACCTCATAATTTGATGTTCAAACCATGTGCATGCAATATCGAAGAAGCCTATTTAGCCCCCTGAAATTTACGAAACAAGTTAAAAGAACATTTGGTTCAACACAATCGTGCACATTATTTGTAAACATTTAAATGAATTACACATGCACAATATATTCATGCGAACATGCATGTATTCATCACGCCAGCTGTGTTTATTTCAGTATATTATTTTGCAATAATTTGTTTTCAACGTCACAAGTTTGCAATGTCTTAACAGTGACGTACCTAGAAGGATATTTGGCGGGATATTTATATATCCAGTTATGCCCTTTGGATTTCCAATGCCTTAATAAAATAGAAATCCGTCAGGCAGAACTGAATTATATGAATATCAGTTCACCCCCCCCCCCCAATTTCGCTCTAGTTACACCCGTGTGTCCTAATAACTCTAATAAACTGTCTTAATTTGTTGTTTTTTCAACTCTAAAAGCTTACTGTTTAATTATGTAAACGAATATAGTATGAATGAATAAATTTTGTTAAAGCCAAAGTGGCATATGTTAGTAACGATAATTTGAAAAACAAAACATTTGTGTCGCGTATTTCACTGGCGCAGATGAAATATCCTTTAACAAGTCTTCGTTCTTGTTGTCAGGCAGACCCAGTGTCAGAATAGGTCTTCCTGTTGAAGTCTATAACATTTTGAAGAGGAATTTTGAGGAAGAATTTTACGTTAAGATAAAAGGTTTCTACTTACAGGAAAGATGTCGCTTGTCCAACAAAAACAACGAGTGAATATGGAATTGATTATGCAAACAAGACTTTTGCTTCGTGTATTCGTCAAAGTCAGTCTTTTGTTGCTGATATTCCTGAATGTTCAAACTTTTGGTTATGGTTTTGATTTTTGCTTTCAAGGACCAAATGAAGGTGCGTAGGGTAAAATATTTATAATTTTGCTTTCACATTGCCAACAATACAGTTATATTTGTGAATGCTAATAATTTCTTTAAAGCAACTGGCACAATTCAAATCGCTGCGTGGAAGCAAACCTTGCCCCTTAAGCTGGGCGAGTAGCCGAATTCATATTAGAGACCGGAAACTCATCTTAGACTGGAAATTTGATGGTAAAAAACCCGTCAAAATATAAATAGGAATGGATAAATTTATACGTGTGATAGGTCGGGTAATGCTAAAAAGGGTATCGTAATTATTACGATAAAAATTTTGTTTGTTTTCCGTTAGCCTTGTTCCGTCCTTCACCGTGTTTATATTTCAGAAATGCGAATTTATGACCAGTCTCTCGTCCAGATGGGACCCCGTCCAAACGGCTAAATTCACATTAGAACGAGTTTCCCGTCTCTAATATGAATTCGGCTAGGCTTCTCCTGGCTGAATTTTCTAGCTATAAAGAGACCATGGTATTTTATAAAGGAACTTTAAGGGGCTTTATTCAGGGATTGCGATATCAGAAAATCGTTAGTTACGAGTACATATGTTGCATTATTTCTGGACAAAACTCAAATATTCGTGTCACATTTATTAACTAAACTGCAATTTCACAATGACCTCTCACTTTGTTAATTGGATTCTACGTTACTAAGTCTAGTTCCTCACTTGCGAAGCACACGGACTACATTAGCGAGACGCCTTCATAAATATTTAACCATGTTTTTATTACTTTCTCCTGCATGTGCTACGACGAAATGTTTCGATTAGAAAAATCAACAATTTTCGTTTGCATCATAATTCATAATGCACGTTTACCTTCTTTTTTACTATTCTAAAGGTCGTCGTTTGAACACCGAAGTGATAGAAAAAGTCCACGCAGGAACGGGAGCAGAATGCATTTACTTTTGTGCCCGTGATAACGAAGCGTGTAGATCTACTAATTTCAAAAAATGCTCAAACTCAGAGAAAAATTGTGAATTCCTTCAAGATATTGCTTCAGAGATGCCTGCAAAACATTTTCTTCAGCACAAAGATTTTGATTACTACGAATTGACAAGTCCTAATAGGACTAGGGTAAGCAGGGGCGTAACTAGAGCGATAATTGGGGGGGGGGATGAATATTCATATATTCAGTTCTGCCCGACGGATTTCTATTGTAAACCATTGCACTTACAAAATAAATCCATAAGGCAGAACTGGATATATGAATATTCACTCCTCCGCCAAATCATCGTGCTAGTTACGGCACTAAGGGTAAGTATATGCAATTTCGGCGGTTTTATTATAATTATCAAACAATTTGCAAAAATTTTTATCACTACTACAAAGACCATAGCAACATCACATAAAATGGGTATGGACAAATGAAGTGTCCACTAATTCTGCTTATAGGGGAGTTACATATGTTTAGCAACAATTATATTACATGTTTACACATAATATTTTAGCAGCGAATGTTTTTTATGTTGAAATGTGGACAGTGGCTTCGCCAGCATCGATAAGTGGGGTGGACATATATTAGAATGTATTCATGTTCACAGACCTAAAAAACAATCAATTTGAAAAGAAATGAACAATGTAAAACACGAATAAAATTATATTAATATATCCACCCGACTTATCATGCTGGCTACGCCACTGAATGTGGACATGCCACTTATAATCCATTTTGAGTCCATCTTGGAAAAATCATATTTGAAAATTTAAAGTGGCTCCCTAGAGTTTGTAAAAATTCTAGATAACAGGTTTGTTGCGAAAAATTAAACACGATTAGCAATAATGCTTTTGAATATAATGTACAGTACGTTAAGGATTAGAAACTGTTGACGGATTAATTATGAAAGCCGTTGGGATTGCAATAATGACGTTCAACATGGCCGCAAATTATGATTAATTGCATTTATTTCAAGAATCTTTCGGTGATTTTTTTTATTTTTCACCGAATGCTTTGCAAGTCATTTATTAAAGGACAAAAAAAGTTATCGATAGGATTTTTTTAAATTGCGTAAAACCATGTTTTCGCACTTTAATTTTTTTTGTATCGATAACTTTTTCTTAAAATTGCCCGGTCAAATTACCAGACATCTGGCAAAAGGTTTAATGGAAAAAGAAGACATTTAACCGAAGGGTTTGTGAAATAATCGTAATTTAATGATAATTTGTGGCCATATTGAAACGTCATTTTTGCCATGGCTTCCTTATTTTTGCCACCTTAACTTGCGATGTTTCACAATAGTGAAGCATTGCAAGTGCTCTCGAGCGAGTTATTGTTCCTGATCTACGAAATTAATTTAGAGATCTAGAACAAAAAGATAGACGGTGGAGGGTTGACAAATCAGTTTTACATACAAAAGAAATTTTTAATGGGTTCACACGTATATATTCTTGTCGTTTTTTGTAGGCCTTTCCACAATCTTGCACAGAATTGTTTGTCAAGAATACGTGAGTTTAAAAAAAAAAATATATATATATATATATACTGGTGGATAAAGGTCTATTACAGTCAATGAATTTCAACCATTATTCCACAATTATTCAGAAATTTTTTTTTATAACCATATCTAGATCATTGCCTGATGGTACCTACACCTTGAAGAAGATGGTGCGTAAACCGTATAAAGTATATTGTCACATGACAGATATCCCAGGATGTGGGGTTGGAGGTTGGACCCTAGTGATGAAGCTTGATGGGACTAAGGTTAGATTGTAGTCGTAAAAAGTATAGTGCATGTTCACTTCTAACCAATCAATTCGTAATAATAGTTAAAACTTTTAGTTTTAAACAACTTTCAATTTTACAGAAAACATTTATGTATCGTTCTTCTTGGTGGACAAACAAACAGACATACGCAGTACAAGATGGTCTGGAAGGATTGACAGAGAAAGAAAGCAAGTTGGCTTCGTATTGGAATACTCCGTTCACAAAGATTTGCCTGGGCATGTCGTATAACGGAGACACAAAATGGATGAGTTTCAACTACACCGGAATTTCGCTGTACACTGTGATCGCAGACGGCCAGTTTAGGGCAACGGGGGCTGGTAGAGCAGCATGGAAATCTCTGATCGCCGGCTCGTCACTTCAGAGAAACTGCAACAGGGAAGGATTTAATAATATACACCTACGTTCAAAAATGAGAATTGGACTTGTAGCCAATGAACAGGAAGATTGTAATACGTGTGATTCTTGGATTGGCTATGGAGTAATGTCCACTGGATGGACTTGTGGAAATTTTGCTAGCCACGGACCCGATAACGGTGATAAAAATTTGGCAACGTTTGGATACATTCTCGTTCAATAATCAACCAGTAAAATAGAACGCTATCTTCTAGTCAATATTACGATAACCTATGGGTTGTAAAAACGTGACAATTTCTTGCATATAATTTGTACGTGATTGTAGGTTCAGCATTTATATATTCAAAGTAACGAATTAGCATAAACAGGGACATTTCAGAGACATTAAAATATTGTGGCATGTAAATTCTAGGCCTTTCAAAAATATCATAACAAATAAGGCTTTGATTGTTGATACAAGTAATATAATAATATACACACCCAGCACCTTCTAACATGACTGATAATATAAATTTATATCAGCATAATAATTACGTCTGTATAGTGGCCTACAAATACTATATAATTATATCTGTGTTATTAGAATATGTAGTTCTTTGAAAATAAAACGCACAAAAGTAATTTACAAAGTCTCTTTCGAAATACGTTGCAAAAAGTGGCGCTTACGCAATGAAACCAAATATTCTGAAGTATTCATGATAGGCGTATTTTCAATACAAATTGACCCGAACTTTCACAGTCAATAATTATATGACATTTGCACAAACAGCTGGATACAAACCAGAGAATATCATTATACTTTTTTTTGGACGTGGTTACTTTGCTAATATTCACATTCAAAGGAAGCCTGGTGGTATATCAAACTTTTAATTCTTTTTAGTACAGATGGCAACTAAATATTCAAAAAATAGCTAAGATGGCGATATCGTGAATTTTAAATTTTAATTATACTTCAACCACTTTAAGACGTAGGTCAAACGAAATAAACTCATGAAGGCTTTTCATTTGTTAACTTTTTAGATGTATACCTGTGGTAAATTGCTAATAATTTACGGCCTATTTCATGTATCGAGGTTTAAATGTCAATCGTCCGTATTCCCATATAATGTAGTGTATACATTCATATTTCAAAGTTAAAATGTGATGGATGTATGACGATCTATAGTAAGCACAAGTAAAACTCGATTGCCTAACTTGAACGTAACAAGATCGTTTATCAGGCGGCAGTGTTAATTTCTAACACAAATTGAACAAGAAAGAAGTTTGTCAATCATCTTAATATACAATATAAACTAGTTCCACAGCATTTGAACTAAGTCAGCGTCTAAATGTTTAAAATATGATGTGCCAACAAAGTGCAAATTTGTTTTTTTAAAAACAAAATAATTAAATAATTAAAATAATAAAATAATTAAAATTATTTAAACCATGCATTAAGAAAATGGCCTTTTGAAAGATTGTTTATGGACGTATTCAGACGAACCGTTAGAAAATTACCAAGAATTTATATGGCCTAATCAGTCGTGTGTTTGAAGTTTGAGCTGATTTATCATAAGTTATATAATGTAATATTTTTGTTGTAAATGAAGAAACGTTGCCACAAATAATTCAGGATGTATGACAAACTATATTAAGTATATACAGTTGAGACTCGGACGGGTCGATTTCAAGAATTATTTTGATGGTCGATTCATCTTAGAAACTTGTCAATCATGTTAATGCAAGAAAACTAGTTCCGCAGCATTTAAAACTAAACTTCCGCTTTAGTAAAAATAAAAACTGAATCATTGAAATAAATATGTATATGCATGATGTGCTCACAAAATGCAAATTTGATTTTAAGTATTTCAAAGGAGCGTCCATTATAATCACTCATTTAGAAATTTTCCGTATAATTCATGTGTTTAAGGTTTGAACTGTCTGTCTTGCCATCGGTGTATTATTTCTACCAAGATAATTATAAAATTGAAGCTTACAATGTGATATGCTTGGAAATGAATGCATGCAACTATGAATGGAAAATTGCATGCAACAATGACAGCATTTAGTTAAACTAAACCGCCATTTTTGCAAAGATACTAACGAAAAATTTTATATACACATGCATGTACATTGATTTTAACTTATTTAAACCACCGGTATATAGTTAACACAATTGTTGCAAACCATGAAATAATATATTCAGAGTACGAGTTGAAAAATTTTGTCAATTCAGAAAGTAACAATTGTTAGCCGCTTTATAGGGGAGCACGGTCGTTTCTTTATTAAGTTATTGTTGATATATTTCGGACAAGGGGATATAGCATTTGCCAAGAAGTTTAATTAAAGTTAGTTTATAAACACTATAAATGCAACTTATTAAGAAATAAGAAACTATAACCCCTTTTGATTAACCAAAAAATTTAACTAAATGTTATTTCCTGAACAGTGATCAACCTATCTTTCCCCAACTATACTGTTCCTCTTTGAATATAAGTAACTATCATAATTAGCGAAGATATCTTGCAGCTTATACGCTATGTAGATCAATATTTTCTCCATGCAGGCGGGAAAAAGGAAATTTTCGGAAAGAGCATACATCAAAATTTGTAAATCTAAACAAAATTAAAATTTACCTGGGAAATGTCTTATAGTATTGGGAATATAGTTGTGCGAAGATGCAAATTTTGTACACTTTTCTATTATGGCTGGAGTGTTTGTACTAAATTAGTTACACATTTTTGCACGTATAAATAAAAAAAATAAACTAAAAAAAATCAATTTGCCTACTTCGCACGCGAACATTTTTCACATTATTTTTACAAAAGTTCGCGACTAAGTTTTGCAATTATACTAATCTTTGTACGCTCTTTTTAGCTATGGTAATATATATTTTTCTCCTTGCCGCACAGATCTAAAATTAAACTATAGCGCATAAGGTCCATTAACATTATGTAAATTTCGCTATATATTGTAAATATGTAAATTTCACTTTAAATGACACTTATATTTAGCCTATCCCTTAAATGAAAAGCCACTTAAGAGTTTCTTTTGATTCACCGCCAATTGTTTGACTGTATAAATTTTCCTTTTTTTGACTGTTCGTTCAAAACGGTCAATCTGCCTTGCAATGAGTGTCCTTTCAAGAATTTCTCTGCTGTTTCTCGTTTTTGTCATGGGCGAATGCACAGAGCAAGTTGTTTTTCGGAAAAATAAGCAGAAATACTTGGCGAATCATGTCATCGAAACAAAACAAGCTGAGTTCGAATTTGAATGTGGTTTGCTTTGCGCTCGTCATGGATCATGTGCGTCAATCAACTACAAAACTTCTGGTATCGGTAAAGGTCGCTGTGAACTCAACAATAAGACAAATGAAGACGATGATGATGAAGAAATCAACTTTGAATACAACCATCTTGTCATAATAAAACCAGTAAGTATAAGCATAAATTTTTTACATATATTATGTGGTTTTGACGACGGATATGCACGGTAGAATAAATTTTAGTTTGAAACTATGAAACAACTATATATAGAGTGTTTCTTGGCTATAACTGCCCGAAATTTCTTTCGCAAAGAAAGAACGGAGTATTTGGACCATTCAATACTCTTACATAGGTAAAGCAAAAATGTCGTCAATTATCGTTGTTCTTGCTTCCAAAATGCATTATTACAATGAATTATTACCTAGAACTGAAATAAATTAAATTGAGTGATAAAACACATCTTCAGACCCGGCTTACACAGTCATGCAACGTTCATCGATATGTAAATCGCGTCTTTTAAAACGAACGTTTGCTTGAAAATTTGTCAGGTAACTTAAGGCTGTTTCATGCATTTCATTCGCTTTGTCCGCGGGCGAAGCAGCCTTTGAAAATCTGCTAATGCGGGTGTGATGGGTTGAAAAACGGAGCGCGCTTCGCAAGAGGACGTAATGGAAAACCGCCTTTAAGCTTTGATATTACGTTTTTATTCTATTACGTATAACTCTTATAACTTAAGTCTGGTTCTAATATGTCACCGACAGTCGGCAACGTATTGTTTGTGGCCCGTGAGCAAGAAAATTTATTAGAAATAACTAAGCACTTGACTCGTCAATGATTATCGACAGTAGCAATAGCGCGGACAACTTTAAAGTAAACCCTAAATTTTAGTTCACATTTCATGTTTCAATTACAATGTCTAGTCTAAATTTCCTAATATCGATATAGCTAATTTCAAAATGACGAATATGGATTTTAGTTTGCCGTTTGCCCTAAGTGTCTATTTACACCGTCTTAAGCTGGTTTTCCACTATATAGCGATAATTTTTCGTGAAGCGTTATTTTACTTATGTGTCAGAGCTCTCAACTGCAACCATCTGGAACAAATTGCTCAAATACAAAGGAATAATTCGCTTCGCTCGAAAAATATCACTGGTGGAAAACCAGCTTTAGGGGGCGGCATTTATGGGACGGTACTATAGAATTTGGTTGACGTGTGAAGAATTTATTCTTGTCGCCTTTTAGACTTGGCTAAAGCCGGAAAAAAATATTTTGTCAGGTAAAATTAAAATTTTTGATGTTATTGCGTCCAAAATGAAAACAACGCTCCAGTATATTGTATATTTATGTTTTTAGGAGAACAACAAAACGCCTTTCCTCAATCTTGCACGGAATTGTTTGTCAAGAATACGTAAGTTATACTTATACTCGAGGATAAAAGTCTAATACAGTCAATTAATTTTGAATTCAACCTTCATTCCAGCAGAACTTTTCATAACCATATCGATCATATAGCCATACCATTGTAATTTTGGATGGCGATATTACAATATTAATAAATAGAGATTACTTCATGGTTGGCGAGTAAGTAGGATTTTCATGCACGAGTTCAACTTGACAACGACACACTTTTAATATACAAAAACACAGAGAAAAACAAAAATCGAAAATTTATGCATCAAAACATATTTATTACCGTCCAGTTTCTTGGCAATTTTGTTCAATAGAAGTTAGATATTCTTTCCGAAAGATTTGAGAATGTGCTGAATGTAAAAATATCTTGAATATGAGAATTATGTTTTGAATCTCACTTCTATATTTCGACGCCATCTTGAAAAAAATGTAAACAAATTGCCGCCAAAATGGCATACGACAATTTTTCACGTGTGAAGAATATCGTACGTCCAATCAAAAGCCGTGTATGGCATTTTTTAACACGTGAAAAACATCGTACGTCAAGTCAAATTGCATGAAATTAATTTACACAGTGAAATACGATTTTTATTTCATCATTCTGCTGTGCATAAATCTCTATACACATATAATAAATTATTTTAGCTTGTAGCAAACGACGTAAGTGTTTACTATTGTACGGATATCTAGATCATTGCCCAATGGTGTCTACATCTTGCAGAAGAATAATTTCTCACCACCATATAAGGTATATTGCCACATGACAGATATCCCAGGATGTGGGGTTGGAGGTTGGACGCTAGTGATGAAGCTTAATGGGACTAAGGTTAGATTGTAGTCATGAAGAGTATAGTGCGTATAACTTCTGATCAATCAATTTGTAACAATAGTTAAAACTTTTAGTTTTCCACAACTTTCACTTTTACAGAACACGTTTATCTATGGTTCTTCTCTGTAGACAAACAAAGAGACATACGCAGCACAAGATGGTCTGGAAGGATTGACAGAGAAAGAAAGCAAGTTGGCTTCGTATTGGAATACTCCGTTCACAAAGATTTGCCTGGGTATGACTTATAACGGAGACAGAAAATGGATGAGCTTCAAATACACCGGAACTTCGCTGTACACTGTGATCGAAGACGGCCAGTTTAGGGCAACGGGGGCTGGTAGAGCAGCATGGAAATCTCTGATCGCCAACTCGTCACTTCAGAGAAACTGCAACAGAGAAGGGTTTAACATATACCTACGTTTTAGAATACGAATTGGACTCGTAGCCAATAACGAGGAAGGTTGTAACTCATGTGATTCATGGCTTGGCTATGGAGCAATGGACTCTGGAAGTGGAAATGTTGCTAGGTTCTACGCCGATAACGGTGATAAAAATTTGGCGACGTTTGGATACATTCTTGTTCAATAATAAACCAGTAAAATAGAACGCTACCTTCTAGTCAAGATTAAGTTAACTTATGGGTTGTAAAAACGTGACAATTCTTTGCATAGTTTGTGCGCGTTTAGGTTATAGTGGACCGATTGTACAAAATATTCCAGCATTTAGCTATATAGTAAATGTAACGAATTTGCATAAACGGTGACATTGCATAGACATTTAAAAAACATTGTAGCACGTCTATTCCTGTCTATGCCAAAAAAGTACATGCAGGTAATATAATATATGCACCCAGCACCTTAGACTATGACTGATAATAAAATTTTTTATCAGCATAGTATTTCGGCCTATAAAGCATGCAGCTACTGTATCTGTAATTAGAATATATATGTAGTGCTACGAAAATAAAAACGCACAAAAGTATTTTTCTGTCGCATTGTTACTAACGTTACAATTATTATATGTGTATTTTCCTCTGAAGGCATTCTTCCGCCCCGGGTACAATGCCACAATACCAGGTTCAACAGTTTCAACAGTACAGTTTCTGTAATTTTAAAAAATATGATGATATTCTCCTAATATCATTTGCTAAATCAAAAAGCTATCAAAGTCCTTCGAAATAATGTTGCAAAAATGGCGCTACACAATCAAGTAAGGATATAAGTTTCATGATAGGAGAATTTCATTACAAATTGAACCGAACTATCGGCAGCAATAATTATATGACATTTGTACAAACAGTGGATATAAGATAGAGTATCACCATAATTTCTTCCAAACGTGAATATTTTGCAAATATTTACACACTAAGGAAGCGTGGTAATAACTTTGTACTTAAGTATAGACAGCAACTAATATAACTATTTAAAATATGAGATGCTTAGATCGTGAAATTTAGTTAATTATTTTAGCCGGTCAAACGAAATAGCCTCTTAAATGAGGTTTACGCACTGTAGGAAGAGAAAGAAGCTTCCGAATCATCTTGCTACAAGATAAACAAGTTTCACAGTTGAACTGAGTCAACAATTAAAAATTTGTAATAAAATTATTATGCGGACAAAGTGAAAATTTGTTTCTCTTCAAAAAATGCTAACTTTATAACGTATTTAGTTATGGCATAATTTGCATACGTGTTTGAAATTTGAGTCGTCTTGTTATAAATTGCAATGTAATATGTTGTAAATAAAGCTGCTTTTATTTTTTTCACTCATTTAGATAAACCCTTAGTAATTTCAGTAATAACAATTTACGATCTAATTCGTGTGTTTAATGTTTCAACCGTCTGTCTGGCCATCGGTTTATTATTGTAGCAAGATGAATACGAAATTCAAAGTTGCAATATGATATGCTTGCAAATGAAAAAAATTGCATGCAATAATCACTTCGTGTATGAATTTTTCGTAGAAGCACAGGTGAAACACGAGTGGCCTAGCTTGAACGTGAAATGGACCTTTTCAGACAGCGTTTTAAATTTCTAAGACGGCTCAGGAAAGACATTGTCGACAGTCGAGAAATCTACAAAGATCTCTAACATCGCCACCGGATTTAAACTTCAAAACAGACAATTTTTGAAACATATATATGCAGACATCGCAATAATTAGACTTTACTTATTTAAACCAGCTATATATTTAGCACAATGTCAGAAACCATGAAATATATTTACTGGGACACTCTGACTCTGCATAAATACAATCATTGTCGAAAAGTTTGTCCTGTCCATATATTCATAAATACCTAAATATCAATCACGTGACCAACATATATTGGCGTGGGTTTTGTGTGGTTTTCGCCGACCTCATAATTTGATTTTCAAACCATGTGCATGCAATATCGAAGAAGCCTATTTAGCCCCTGAAATTTTCGAAACAAGTTAAAAGAACATTTGGTTGAACACAATCGTGCACATTATTTGTAAACATTTCAATGAATTACACATGCACAATATATTCATGCGAACATGCATTCATCACGCCGCCTATATTTATTGCAGTAAGTACCTTCAGCGCGGGGCCCTGAATCGTGTAAAGCATCAAAGCTTTTCCTCAGGGCCCCTCAGGAAATTTTGGGGTTCCGGCTAAAATTCTCGTTATAGGGGCTAAAATCCGCAAAAAAATCGCCATAGTAAGTTCATGTGACTTTTTTTTGGGACACCCTGTTTATGCATGTCTTAACAGTGGCGTAACTAGAACGATAATTTTGGGGAGGTGAATATTCACATGTCCAGTTTTCCCTAGAAATTTCTTCTTCTCCTAGAACTGAATATAGGAATATTCACCTTACCAATTATCGCTCCAGTTACGTCCCTCTGTCTTACTAACTTTAATAACCTGTCTTAATTTGTTGATTTTTTTCACCCCTGAAAGCTTGCTGTTTAATTATCTAAACGAATAAAGTATAAATGAATAAGTTTTGTAAAAGCCGAAATGGCATATGTTAGTAATATTTATTTGAAAAACAAAACAATTGTGTCGCATATATTTAACAGGCGCAGATGAAACATCACATTAACAAGTTTTTGATTTTGTCGTCAGACAGGCAGACCAAGTTACTTTAAGATAAATATTTCCACTCACGGCAAACATGTCGCTTGTCCAACAAAAAACAACCAGTGAATATGGAATTGATTATGCAACCAAAACGTTTGCTTCGCGCATTCGTCAAAGTCAGTCTTTCGTTGCTGATATTCCTGAATCTTCAAACGTTTGGTTATGGTTTTGATTTCTGCTTTCAAGGACCAAATGAAGGTGCGTATTGTAAAATATGTTTAATATTTCTTTCGCATTGCCAACCAATACAGTTATATCCGTGAATGCAAATAATTTCTTTAAAGCAACTGGCACAATACAAGTCGCTGCGTGGAAGCAAACCTTGCCCCTTAAGCTGCGCGAGTGGCCGAATTCATATTAGAGATGGGAAACTCATCTTAGACTGGAAATTTGACGGTAAAAACCCGTCTAAATATGAATAGGAATGGATAGATTTATACGTGTGATGGGTCGGGTAATGCTAAAAAGGGTATCGTAATTATTACGATAAAAAAATTTTGTTTGTTTTCCCTTAGCCTTGTTCCGTCCTCGACCGTGTTTATATTTCAGAAACTCGTCTCATTTTCCGTCTTAATGCGAGTTTAAGAAGAGTCTCTCGTCCAGATGGGACCCCGTCCAAACGGCTAAATTCACATTAGGAGTTTCCCATCTCCAAAATGAATTCGGCTAGTCTTCTCCTGGCTGAATTTGAAAGCAATAAAGAGACCATGGTACTTCATAAAGGAACTTTAAGGGGCTTTATTCAGGGATTGCGATATCAGAAAATCTTTATTTACGAGTATACATACATGTTTCACTATTTCTGAACAAAATTCAAATATTCGTGTCACATTTATTAACTAAACTGCAATTTCATAATGACCTCTCACTTTGTTAATTTGATTCTACGTCTAGCTCTTCACTTGAGAAGCACACGGACTACATTAGCAAGACGCCTTCATAAATATTTAACCATGTTTTTATTACTTCCTCCTGTGCTATACCGCCTATACGACTACGGAAAGTTTCGATTAGAAAAATCAACAATTTTCGTTAGCATCATAATTCATAATGTACGTTTACCTTCTTTTTTTACTATTCGAAAGGTCGTCGTTTAAACAGCGAAGTGATAGAAAAAGTCCACGCAGGAACGGGAGTAGAATGCATTTACTTTTGTGCCCGTGATAACGAAGCGTGTAGATCTACTAATTTCAAAAAATGCTCCAACTCAGAAAAAAATTGTGAATTCCTTCAAGATATTGCTTCAGAGATGCCAGAAAAAGCTTTTCTTCGGCACAAAGATTTTGATTACTACGAATTGACAAGTCCTAATAGGACTAGGGTAAGCAGGGGTATTCAGTTCTGCTCGACGGATTTCTATTGTAAGCCATTGCACTTACAAAGAAATTCGTAGGGCAGAACTGAATAAATGAATATCACACCCCCCTCCCAATGATCGTTCTAGTTACGCCACTAAGGGTAAGTACATGCAATTTCGGTGGTTGAAGCATTACAAATGCTCTCTGATTTACAAAATTAATTTAGAGATCTAGAACAGAACGATAAACGGTCGAGAGTCGACAAATTAGTTTTAAATAAAAAAGAAATATTCGCGGTTCAATGGGTCGAAACGAATATATTCTTGTCATTTTTTGTAGGCTTTTCCACAATCTTGCAAAGAACTGTTTGCCAAGAATACGTAAGTTAAAAAGATAGATATATATATACTGGTGGATAAAAATCTATTGCAGTCAATGAATTTCAACCTTTATTACACATTTATTTAGAAATTTTTTATGTCTAGATCATTGCCCAATGGTGTCTACACCTTGCAGAAGAATCATTCCTCACCACCATATAAGGTATATTGTCACATGACAGATATCCCAGAATGTGGGGTTGGAGGCTGGACACTAGTGATGAAGCTTGATGGGACTAAGGTTAGATTGTAGTCATAAAGAGTGTAGTGCGTATTCACTTCTAATCAATCAATTTGTAACAATAGTTAAAGCTTTTAGTTTTAAACAACTTTCAACTTTACAGAATACATCTAACTATCATTCTTCTCTGTGGAAAAACAAAGAGACATACGCAGCACAAGATGGTTTGGAAGAACTGACAGAGAAAGAAAGCAAGTTGGCTTCGTATTGGAATACTCCGTTCACAAAGATTTGCCTGGGTATGTCGTACACTGTTAAAAATATCTCTGTTATTTTACAGTAAAAAGTACTGGCAGCTTGGACGCCAGAGCAATTACTGTAAAATTACAGAAACTGTATTTTAACAGAAATCTGTTATTTTACAGAAACTTTATGTTAATATATAAACCAGAAAAATAGCTTTAATATACAGTGCAATATACTGTTAATATACAAAAAATCTTAGTTATTTTACGGTAAAAAGTACGGCAGCTTGGACACTAGAACTACTGTAAATTACAAGTTAATTTTACAGTAAAAGTACTGTAAAATTACAGAGACTATATTTTAACGGAAATCTGTA